GCAGATCTAAGCAGAAAAGAAAGTCAATTAGTAGCAATACAAGCCGTCCTGGATAACTTTAATACCTCCAGAGGTATTAAAGTTATCCAGGACATAAGACGGCTTGACTCTGACAACTTTTTCAACTTTCTCGCATGATTTCACTGCGGTGCTAGATCATTGGAAATGCAATTTTCCTTACCAGATTTTGAGTTTACGGTAAATAACTGATAAATATGAGTCTTTAAATTTACGTCAAAACCTATTTACCAAAAACGATGATCATTAGAAACATATCCTCAGTGGTTGCTGTTTGGCAAAAGAAACTGACGATGAATCACTGTGAGAACATTTGATTTTACTCTGTGATTAAGATGCAGCCTGGATGAAATTACTGTAAAATTATGCCACATAAACTAATTTTGGTATTCATCAAGCTTTTTTTTCTCATTATTAGCTCAATTTAGAGTAGAAAATGTTTTTCTGTTTCTATCTAAACCAATGCCCGTTCACCTTTTCTTTCTGTCTCTTAGTTTGTGTTTAGTTAAGATTCGAAACTGTTTCAATTAAATTTTTAAAGGATGCTGTGGAAAGATATCAACTTAGTCACTGTATTCTGTTCAGCTGAGAGTCCCTTTCTGATTTGAACTCTTTCTCTTGTTTAACTGCTTTATTTTGAGATTTACTGTATCACTTCCACAGGCATTATCAAGATCTTCCTAGAAATTCTTGTTTTGACAAAAGTCTGAAAGAGTCTACCTAAAGCTAAAAATAAATCAAGAATGCAAAGACCAGAAAATAAACTGATAAACTCTACCACTAAATGTAGCAGTCAATTATGCTAAGACTAACTTCTGAAAATTGCTGTTTGTCCACAGAGACAACTTATTCAGATTTAGAAACGTTAAGGTTGTTTATATTTCAACGTATTTATTGCTTTATAATTTAACTTTACATAATTCGATGTTCAGTGCTGCAACCTCTCAAACTGCCATGTGCGCTGTAGATTCTGTGCGATAAGGTAATGAAATGACTGTTACAAGCAATCATGAAGGGTGATGTAACTGGGCTTTATTTACATTATTTTACCATCAGAATCAGTTTTAAAAAGTTTGAGGGGTTTCTCTATTCCGGAAGTCTATAAGCGAAGCAGCAGAAGAACAGACTACCATCTTACAGAAAAATTCACTAGGTCTGAAGAAAATTTGATTTTTTCATGTTTTGTTGTCAAGAAATAAAAAACAAATCTTAATTTAAAATTCTAGCTTTTAGCATCAGTGATCATAATTGAAAACCTTTTTTGTAGAAAAAATTTTCTCGAATAAACTCTTGTGTGTAGCGTATACGAATACAGTGGCATAAATTATCAACGTTCTTGAAAATCTTATAAGTTGCTAAGAAGTTTAATGAAACAGAAAAAAGTAAAAATTCCTAAGATTTTTCTTACTTCTTGCATAGCTGTAACCAACACAAATTTTAAAATTTAAAGAATTAGAGAAAAATATAATATTTCTTTGGAATTTTCAGCAACAGCTAGCTGCTTCTAATTTACTCTACACTTCCACCTATTTAACTATGACTACAAAATTCAAAGTTGAAATGGCGACATCCTAAATTTTTCTAATTTTAATGATAGCTAAAACTTTTTTGGTTTTGGCAATTCATATGTCGTATCAAATAATCAGTTCTTAGAATAATTACTTGTCTAAAGCATTTCAAAAATTTCTGTAGATGTGCTTTGTAATACGGCAAATACGAAAGACTTTTTTTGAAAAAAAGTTAAAATGAACATGAAATTGACTTTATCGAAGAGGATAAACAGAAATAAGCAAAACTTTTACTACAAAACGTTTAGTGCTAATTTGATTAAGAAACAGTTTCTGTATAGTAACAGAATAAGCTTAATCTTTTAAATAATATTAAAACTAAATAAGTGCATGTTAGAAATCATTGCTGTGCTCTTCATCAAAACACAAGATCTTGACGAATTCTTATCTGTAATTCCTAATTTTTTTTTATCTTGCCCACTTATTTGTTTGTCTGTTTAATACTGGCGTTCAGCAAAAAAATGTACTTTACTGTTTACACTTTATTTTTTAAATTGATGGTTTTTTCCATTTCTAATTTTATTTTCATTATTGTAGAAAAAACGCTTAACAGAGTCCGCATGTTCTTCCGCAAGTAGCCCGCTTCTCGGTTGCATTCCAAAAATTGCTTGAACAGTAGCCATTCCGGTTCCACACCGAACATCTGAAAAACACATAATTTTTTATATATTTTTATTAAAAGGTAAAATTGTTGCTTTTTATTCAGACTACGTTTTTATTTTAAAAAAAATAATATTATTAGCTGCTAATAAAGCAAAAAGCATTACGTAGCTATTGGAGCACTAAAACGTATGACTTAAAAAAGAAAAATGTTGAGTCGTGTCAGCAAAATGAGCATCTACATTACTGAATTTTAATCTTTCGGTTTTCAGCAAACAGAAAGCTTTGTCAATTAAGACAGAAGACAGAGTTCAAGAATGTCGGAGTGATATAATTAAGCATGTTAACCACATTATCTTACAGAATGCGTATATCTCAACGCAACTTTTCTGAATAAAGAAATGAATAGAGCAGTTTTATAAAAAAAATATAACCATTGCAAACCTAAGTACGATTACTACTCAAATCTAGAAAGTGTTGAAAATAAGAAAATGTTTTTGGTTTTGAGAATGCTAAAAACAATAAAAGAGCATTTTGAAGTGATTATCACGAAGACAGATAAGCTTTTTGTCTATCACAGGATACTTTATGCCGGTTTGTCTTCTTAATTTGTATTTGGAAGTGCGTAGTTGGTACAATAAACTGTCAGGTTCTGTCAAGCATGAAGGACTTTTTTCTTTAGTGATAAACAGAAAACATAATATTCTCATAATTACAAAAATAGTTTAGCAGCTTTTACTGCGACACTCTCAGCCATAAATTAATTCATCTGTTTCTGTATTAGGAAATGAGTTCAAATTCTAAAATTAATCGCAGTGTAAAATTTTTTTTTGATTGCTTTTAGCATCTTACTATTGCTTCAACTGTAACTCCTAAAATTGACTCCCAAATAAAATGAAAATGACCAGCTAAAAACAAGCTCGTAGAGACCAACCTGGTTATAATATAATCATATGTTAACAAGACAGAAGCTATAATGAAGATATATGTAGCTAAAAAAAGGCTAGTTTTGAGTTGTGAAATTAAGTGCAACTCATCAGTAACTATACAGGTTCAACGTTAGAAAATAAAAAAAGTTTGCTGACGCTGGAGAAGTATCAGCGCAATTTGCTGATGTTGTTCCATTGTTATTTGTTGTTGGTTGGCATCGATTACATGTAGATGGACAAGTTTCAGTCATAAACTGGTACAGTGAGATTTTGTTACAGTTAGCCTAAAATTTCTTTTTTTTTTACTGCCGATTTATCTTTCAGTAGATCTGACTTATTGTCCAAGAAGGAATCTGAGACGAATTTAAGACAGCTTTTAGTTATTACAGATGTCTCAACAATATGCGGCTTTAAAAAAATTATGACAATTTTAATTACTTTGTACCAGATTTTCTTCAAAGTATCGTTTAAAAAAATTTTTGAAAATTAACAAAGCGCTGCAAAGTGCTTTCGTGTTCGTAAATAAAACAATACCTTTTCTGCAACGCAAAACGCAGGATCGAGATCTTTACATAAATCAGAATTACTTCCGCTGTTACCAGAAGTACACAAGCCACAGCTAGATGGACAATTCTGAGTAACCATATTACGAATTGCCTCTATTGTAGATTGACAAAGACTACTGGCTACTAGTGCCTTACAGTTAAGAACACCGGTGTCGCTACAGCTTTTGTATGCTGCACAGTTTCCACAAGTAAATGGGCAAAGCTAAAATGATTTTGGTATTGGAAACTTTGCTTTGAAGTTGGTTTATCTGTCTGACTAATTTGTTTTCTACCTCCTTCAGAGCTTACGTCATAAATTGTAAAATAACTGTCTACTTTGATTCTCAGATTAAAAACAACAAATAAACTTTTCAATAACTCTAAGTCTGAGGTCAAATTAAAGTAGGAAGTTTGCTCTAATACACTAAGTCACGTAAACCTAAATAGAAAGTTTGTGGAAAAAGTCTACCGATTTGAAAATCTAATGCAGAAACTGCACAAACTGAAAGAGAGTCATAAGTTTGAAATAATTCTTTAAACTATCTTTCAATAGAATTTGTTTTACAAATATAAACTTTATTGCTTCTGCAGCGGCATTACATTTGACTTATAAAAGGGTTTATTAAGAGTTATACAATAACCAAAAATTAAAAGATGATAAAACAATGGCATAAACAAGTGCGAAAACATTCTTAAAAACACTTATTCCCCATCTCTCTTTTTCCCCCACTTTAGCAACTTAATTTTCCAAAAATAAAAGTTTTAAAAAGCGGCTTTTTCAAAAAAAAAAAAAAAAAAAAAAAAAAA